ATCGTTACATAACACTGAGTAGGGAGATACAAACAAACCAGAAAAGCACAACCACAAAAAAATGAAAATATACAAATGGGACAGAAATGTAATATTTATAATTACTAATGTTTTATAGCAGGAAGCACTGCTATGAGTGGTACAATAAATAAATTCATTTAAGCAAAGGACCAGAATATAACTACCGCAAAGCCCCTATTTTTGATAAACATTCACTATGAAGGTTTCAGTTTGTCAGAAAGAAAACTTTATTTTAAAGGGAAAAAAAAAAAAAAAGTGTAAGGTTCCAAATGTGCAATAATCCTGCAATTTGGCAAAGCTCTCATTAAAATCAAAGAGATTCTGTTTGACTCGGGCTTGCGAGAGTCAGCCTCCCTGGTGCCATTGTACCACTCTGGTTTTTTCCCCCCCTTAAAAACCTTGCAGTCAAATCTACCTGTGACCTTCAAAATCTTAAATTTTAGCAAAATAAGCACTTTGCATTAAATCAAAAGATAAGGATGTACTCCTGCAAAAAATTGTTGAATCTCTGGTATAAAAAGAGTTTAAAATACATGCATAGCTTGTCCCACTGGGTCCCACTGATGTAGCAATGATATTTTTGTGATAAATTATAGTTATCAGGCACCTCTGACTGCTTCAAACTGTGCTTGGGCCACTAATCCATCCCCCCCAGGATTTATTCTAACATTCCAAGCATAGGGGCAGCTTCAAACAGCCAACATTTTTATAAAAAAAAAAAAAAAAAAAAAAATAGAAAAATGTTTTCACCCTTCCCCCTAATGTGAAATGCCCTCATCCGAGGATGGGCAGTAATCATTCCTGACCCAGTGAAAGGTTTAAGGTCTGATATCTGACCCATCAGATGCTTGCTTTCATTAGAAAGACGAGACACCAGTTTTTCAAAGATATACACACAGCACTTGATTATAGTCCTGGGAGTTCTGAAGAAATCTGACCTTTAAATTACATTACAATGTACAGAAAAATCTATGTGGAGCAAATTTCAGTAACTAAGGTATTTAAGCAATCTTTATTCTCCCTCTTGTTTTGGTTTGGTTTTTGGTTTTGTTTTTTTTTTTTTTGTTTGTTTGTTTGTTTTTTTGGTTTTTTTTTTTTTCCCAGAGATCTGCAAATAGGACTCAGGATAACAAAAAGCATCTGATTCTACCGATACGGGTCTCCCTGTGCAGTGACACCGTGCCCCCCCACTGCTCCGCGGCACGCTTTCCTCGCGCTCGGGCGTTTTACATCCCGGACCGCTCCCGCACAGGCTGACGGCCGTACCAGCACGCTGGAGAGGACTTGCACAACCCGCTCGTGGCTTCACTCCTCCCTCCACACTCTTACTGATAAAACTGATCATCTGCATCGCACAGCCCATGAGAACCGCCTGCATGTATGGAAAAACTATTTTTATCCTTTAGCTGTCGTAAAAGAGTATTTCTCTGTGTCTAAAAGGCAGCAGACAGGGAAAGCACACAAACAAGGTCAGCTTAGTTTCACATGTTTGCTCTTTGGGGCTAATAAAATTTCAGAGAAAACAAATTTTGATTTACCGTGTCTCCCCTCCCCTTTCCATGAGCTGCTGCTGCTGTCAGTCCTTGGGGGCACACACAGCAGGTTACCATGTAATGTCACACTAGGTGCTGGGATTCAACAAAGGCTAACATGTTGATATCTTTTTATTGCTCGTCAGCCTGGTTACCCCATTTCCCCCCTATACAATTGGACACCTTTGATAATACGGGAAGTTCTGAAGCGGTGACATTTCTATTTTCAGTTGGAAAAGTATCTTTGTTTTCACAAAGCAATAGTCTGCGATCCTGCTTTTTAAGCCACGAAGTGTGATCCTTTATTTTACAGAAACTAAAGATGGGACTTAGAGGGTACGTTTGCTTGTAATTAGTGTAAATATTTGCACTGCCAAATAACGCTTTTTTTTTTAGGGAGCCTAAAGAATATTCTAAATTCTTCCCTAATTAGCAAAAGTATCTAAGGTAGTAAGCACTACCTACAGAGGCAGGAGTTTCATTGATCTACAACTATAGCTACCACAGGGTGTTTTATTTGGTGTAGACGACAAAGTCCGTGGATATGCTCCCTACCCAGGGGTATGAGAAAATACAGACCAGGCTGAAGCGCCGGCCCCTGCGAGGGCAGGATCGCGGCGGCCCAGCGGAGGCAAGCGCCGGGTTATTTTCATGTGAAGCGCCCAGGCCCGTGGAAGACTCTCTGGTAGTGTGCTGGTAAGGGCTGCAGTCCGAAATAACACGTTTTGTTGTAATTCCTAAACAGGGGGACATTTATCTGGGCCATTTATACAAGAGTTATAACCCTAACAATATTTATACTCAGCATGTCATGCTAGCATTTACTACCAGTTTCCATGGAGATGGATTTTCATGCTGTAGCTATGAAATGCACATTGTTGCCACTAAGCCACTTCAGGCCTTTCTGGAAGCCTGCTGAATGCCTGACAAAAGTTGATGCAAACCAATAGTTGTTGTTCTTTGTTTGTTGCCAGACTTCTAGCAGAGCCATATTATGTCCTAGTGATTGAAGTGCCCATGTTCGCCCCCCTCCCGGCACAAAAAGGATCCTCAATTTCGGTGACAAGCATGAAGTGGGCTTCTGCAGGGGAGGACAAACACGGCGCGGGGCAGGGGCTCTGTCTCCGCGCAGGGACGCGGCGCGGCGGGGGGCCGCCTCCCGACAAAGCCTGACATTTGGGGATAAAGCCTAAATAAAATAAAGCGCGGGCAGCGCCCGGGCCGGGAGGGACGGAGCCAGCGCCGGGCTCCGCCTGCCGCGGCCGGCCGCGGAGGCACGGCCGGCGCCAGTCCCTGCGGCCGGGCCCCGCGGGCACCGCCGCGGCCGCCCGCGCACCCTCCGCGCCCGACGGCGGCTCGGCGGGACGGCGGCGGCCGCGCTCCCGGACTCGCTCCGCGGCAGCGCGCCCGCGACCCCGGCGACGGCCCCGCCGAGCCCCGCTCGGGCGTTCGGCCGCGCTCCGCCGCGCTCCGCCGGCCGCTCAGCGCCCGGGCACGGCCGCGGGCCGCTCCCCGGGGCTGCCGGCGCGGCGGCGGGACGGGGCTCGCCCCGGGCAGACGGGCCCCGCTGCCTCCCCTGCCCGGGCCGGGCCGAAGCGGGCCGCCCCGCCGCCGCCGCCCCCTCCTCCGACGGCGCCGCAGGGTCCGGGGCCGCGGCAGGTCCGGACGCCGCGGAGCCCGGGGGCGGGGGGGGGGGGGCGGCTGCAGCTCCCCGCTCGGGACGGGCGCCGCGGCTCCAAGTCTCTCCGGTCCCGCCCGTCTCCTGCCCGCCGCGCCGCCCGGCGCTGGGGTCCCCGCTCGCCGGGGCCGCCACCCGCGCAGCCGCGGGCCCCGGCGCGGCGCTTCCCCGCTCCGCCGGGCTCCGGGCGGCGGAACCGCGCTCCGAGCCCGCAGCGCAGCGCAGCGCACCGCCGGGCCGGGCCGGGCCGGGCCGGGCCGGGGCTCCCCCGCCGGCGGCGGCACCGCGCCGGGCCCCGCCGCGCTCTTACTGTTGGTAGTCCTGCTTGCAGTAGAGCTTTCGGTCCCGGAAGTAGCAGCTGGTGGTGAGGGCTTGCTGACACGCCGCGCACTGCAGGCACTCTTCGTGCCAGGAGGACTCGTTCACCCGCATCAGAAACCGGTCCGAGATGGGCCGCTGGCAGCCCTCGCAGACGGCCTGGTGCTGGCAGTCCGACCCTGCGAACGGCAGACAGCGGCGTGAAGCGCCTGCCCCGGCCCCCGCTCCCCCGACCCGCCCCGCTCCCCTCGGCCCCGGCCCCGCTCCCCCCCCCCCCCGGCCCCGGGGCAGCCGGCGGGCAGCGCAGCCCGGCCGGCCCCGCAGCTCGGCGACATCGAGCTTGACGGCCGCCGCCGAGCCCGCGCCCCGCCACCGTCGGCGAGAAAAGCTCCGCGCCCGCCGGCAGCCCGGGGCGAGGCGGCCGCAGCCCGCGGCAGCCCGGCCGGGCCCCGCCGCAGCGCAGCCCCGGGCACCGGGCAGAGCACGGGGGGTGGCTTTTGGCGCAGCCGAGAAGCGAGCGGCAACTCACCCAGCAGCACTCCTAACGTGGCCGGACCCGAGCGCAGAGGGTGGTCTTCCATTTTAATACCGTCCAGCATCTTTGAGCAGTCCGACTGGCCCCGCGTAAAGCACCTTTCCAAGGACTCGGGACCTGTTGCGATATCCATGGGGCGGGCGGCGGCGCGGCCCGGCGCTCCGGGGCGGCGGGGGAGAGGCGCTGCCGGGCGGCGGGGCCGGCTCAGCCCCGCGTCTGGCCGAGCTCGGGGACAGCCTGCGGCCGGGAGGAGGGAGTCGCTTTTATTTTTATCTGGGAGACATGAGGAGCGTTTCCTGCCTGGACTTCCAGAGACGGGGGGCAGAGGAAAGCGCCGGCGCCGCCGCCCATGGGGGCACCCCGCGCTACACGGGCGCGCACATGCCGCGCACACGGCGCAGGGCAGCCCGCGGTGTCACCTGCTCGCCGGCAGCGCCGGAGCCCCACGCCCTCCGCGGAGGGCCCTCCCGGGGCCGGGCCGGGCCGGGCGGAGCGGCGCGGCGGGGCCGGGCGGGGCGGCGGGGCTTCCCCGGCGCTCCGCAGCCCATGTGCCATGCGGCGTCCCGAGGAGCCGCGCCGTTTAGAGCAGGGGCCGCGGCGGAGGAACACACCCCCCGGCGCCTCACCCCTCCTCAAACTTGCTGACATTTGAACTCCATTGGTGCGCGCCGTATCGCTGCGCCGCGGTGATCCGTCTCCTCGACGTCAAATAGTGCCCTGGCCCCGCCGGGCCCCCGCGGCCCCCGAAGCGCGGCGGCGCCCGGGGCGCGGGGCGGGCGGGCTCCGCGCACCCCGGGGCGGCCGAGCGGCGAGGCGGGCGCGGGTAGCGCGGGCCCGGGGCGCGCCCCCGCGGGTCGGGGGGGGGGCTGGAGGGGGGGGGGGGGGGGGCTGGCGGAGGTTTGGGGAGGGGGGTAGGGGGGAGGCGAGCGCGGCCGCCGAGGATCGCGGCGGAGCCGGGCCCCGGCCGCTCCGCTCCCGGCCCGACGGCGGCTCCGGCCCCTGCGCTGCCCGCGGTAGGTAGCAGCGCGCGTCCCCCGCCGGGCCGCGGGCAGGTGGCGGCGGGACCGTCCCTCGGGGCGGGGGGACGCGGGTCGTGTCCCGCGGGCGGTGGCGGCGCGACTGGCCCCGGCGGGGACACGGGACGGGGCGCGGGGGGGGGTCACACCGCGCCCGCCCTTCGCTGCCGGGCGGCTCCGCACCGTCGCGGCGGGGCCGCCCGCGGGAGGGCCCGGCCCCGGCCCCGGGGGAGCGTCCGGCGGCCCCGCGCCTGCCCGGGCTGAGCAGCGGCCCCCGAGGGCTGCGGGAGCGATCGGCGGCGGCCCCGCGCCCCGAGCAGCGCTTCCCGCGGGTGTCGCGGAGCGCGGGTGTCGTCGCGACAGCGCTTGAGCGCGCGGGGTCTCCGGCTGCGCGTGCGGCCCGGGGGTTTGCACACAACGGGCGCGGGCAGAAGCAGCCGCATTCGAACACGCTGCGCTCTTTTATTCCGTCTTAGGAAACAAAACAAATGAGAAAAGCGATACCCACCGGTCTCCCCGTGCTAGAGGGAGAGCGCCTGAAATCCCGCGTCTCGGGCTTTCCTTTCGTTTTTGTTTTTTTGCAGATACCGTTAAAAATCTAAATCTGAGGAAATAAAAATCCGGAAAGGATTCCGTGCAGAGTTTCTTAATGTGACCCATGATATGCTGTGACCCTGCCGAAGCAAGGGAGTTTATTTTGTAATGCTCCCAAAATATTGATATTTAATAAGCAGGACAAGTGTTAACTTGAATTACTTAATGCTTCTTTTTCTGGGTCTTAAGATAAGCCTTCTTTTTATGCCGTTTTTGTACAGAAACATCTCTGAGAGAAAATCGTGATTATGTTTTAGTTAAATATTTTGGAAAGGGTTTTCCGTAATAGAGCTTATTTCGTTTTTGTTCTGGACAGTACAAATCTGAAAACCTTTGTAGCTAATGCTGAAAAAATAATATATGATTATTTAATTCTGAGATCAAGATAAAAGCTGCTTAGATTTCGTAGTTCAATCCGTGGAGAAAAAGCTTCTCGTTTACATTAATTTTTTATGTTCCCTTCATATTTTTGTGTAAGGATTCAGTGTTCTCAGTCACACAGGGCTTCCATCAAATTATCTTCTACAATTGTGAGGAAAAGTAGAGCCCCTCTTTTCGCAGTAGTTTACGTAACTTCTTACTAAAAAAAGAAGAAAAGAGGAAGAAAAAAAACAACAACAAAAAAAAAGCAATGCTGTGCGGTGGGATAGTTGAGAGCAGATCGGGAAGCCTCCCAAACTCGCACCCGCAGCAATAATTCAATCTTTGTTCGCGGGCTTTTACTCACAAATATCACACCAAAGATTTGTTGCTTCTTGCCATGTGTGTGTACGAACACTGCACCGGATAATTATTATCCCTGCCTCTTACCCCGAGAACAATTCGATGAGGTGTTATATTCGGTTTATATAGTGCTTTTAACGAAAAACAAAATACAATTAAAACACCCACGCGCAAAACCATCACAGAAATAAAATCAAACCAAGACGAACGCAACCCCACCTCCCCGTGGCTTGGTTCTAATTCTCTATTTATTTGCAAGGCAAATCTTTTTGTTTTGAGGTGTTTTGTTTTAATTTTGAGAGTCGAGCAAGAAATGCAGCCCGTCACCATTCTGCATTTCCTAAACAAGGCAGAGAAGAATGAAGCACCGGAATAAATAGCAGGGGCTGAGCCGGCCCGAGGAGCCTCCGCGGCTGCGGCCGTTGGGCTGCGCTGGCACAAACCTCCCGTGGCGGGCGGCACGGCCGCTCCCTCCCCGTCCCGTCCCGTCCGTCTGTCCGGCCCGGCGCCCACGTACGCGCGTGCCAGGCGCTGCGGGGAGCGCGGCGGGGACTCAGCGGAGGGTGCGCGGCGAGACAACACACACACCCCCCCCACACCTCCTCCGTGGGTCTGCAGGCGTGTGCGTGACAGAACCGCCTCGCTCGGTGTTCGCGCGTGTGCCTGCTCGGGACAGCGAGGGCCCCCGGGCTGCTCGGCAGCGAGAGCAGAGGCGCTCCCCGCGTTAGCATGCCTTCCCCGCTCGGGGTGCGTGGGGGTCTGTGCATCCTGCCCGCCTGCATGCGTGTGCAGCCCCGTCCCCGTCTGCGCGTGGGCCTTCCCGGCTGCTGCCGGCGGGCTCCCCGCGGTACCGACCTGCACCGCCCGCTCCCCCGGCCGCGGCGGGCGCGTCCCCGCGGGGGGAGGGAGGGGCCGGGGGTGCTGCCCCGGGGCGCTCCGCGGGCTGCGGCGTTTGCAGCGCTGGTGCGGGGCGTGCGGTCCCGCGGGGTGCGCTGCCGGATCCGCGGGTGCGGGGGTGCACCGCGACCGGGGAAGGCGGTGACCGCGAGCGGCCCGGCTCAGCGGGGTCCGGCCCAACTAAGCCCGGCCCGGCCCGGCCTGGCCCGGCCGCCCGGTGCGGCGGGGCCCCGAGCGCAGCCTGCCCCCTGCCGGCGCGCGGCGGCACGGCCGGGGCTCCCGCGGGCGCGGCGGGGCCGGGAGCGGGGCCGGGAGCGGGGCCGGGAGCGGGGCCGGGAGCCGGCCGGGGTCAGCCGGGGCGAGCAGCGCCCGTGGGGCCGGGCGGGAGCGGGACCGGCCGGCCCGGGTGCTGCCCCGCGGGGAGCCGCGGGCCCTGCCCGTTGCTAGACGGGGCGGCCCGGCTTCCCGCCTCACCGTGCGCGGCCGCCGGCCTCCGGCTCCGTCTGTGACGGCCCCGGCGGCAGGGAGCGGCGGGAGCCCCGCGGGGCAGCCGCAGGGGTACTGGCTCACTTTGTCCTGTTTTTCTCCCCCCACAGCTGGACTCCGCGCCTCGCTGCCCCGCGGAGCCCCGGCCTTCCCCGCCCGCCAGCGGCCGACACCGAAGCATCGCTGCCCACGAACCCGCTCGGGGATCACGGGGGCACCGGCCCGGCTGCACGGTGGACAGGGGCCGAGCTTGTCGCGGGTCCAGCCACAAAGACGGAGACCGGCGGGCGCCCCTCGGGCGGCCCCGCGACCGGCGGAGCTCCCCCCGCGTACCGGCCGCTCTACAGAGCGGCTCTGCAGCCCGCGGCTCCGACCGAGCCCCCGCCGCGCCGAGCCTCCCCGCCGACGGTTCTCTGCCCCCGGCCGCCGCCGCTGCAGCGCCCAGCGGGCCGGGCCCGGCCGTTGTGCGGGGCCGTCGGCCCGGGAAGAGTCGCCCCGCCGGGTGCGCTCGGCGATGACTGATTCAGCCCACTTTCCCTCCCTCGGAAGGATAAATGTAAGCAAGCTGCAAAGTGTAGTTACTAATAACAATAACAATAAATTATCGGGCTGTTGCTCGGTAGTGCAAACAAACGCTTGCCGTGAACCACGCGGAGCCTCCCCGCGCCGCGCAGCCGCCCCCCGGGACCGGCCTGTCCCCCGGACCGGCTGCGTCCCGGCCCCGGGGAGGGTTCCCGCTCGCCCGGCAGCCTCACGGAGCAGGTGACCGGGCCGGGGCCGGCCGCGCCGCGCCGCGGTGGAGCCGCCGGGGTGCCCGGCTGGGTGGGTGGGCTGGAGCCGGCGGGGTCTGCGCTCCGGGCCCGCCGCGCTCGGTGCCGGCGTAGCCCTTCAAAGGGACCGACCCCCGCCCGGTTAGCCGGGGAACCCCTGCGCCGTCCCGGGAGGGTAGCGGGGCCGGCAGACCGCGGTCGGAGGCCGCGCCGCGTGGAAGGCGGCGAACACCGAGCCGGTATTTTAATTAAGCAGGGTCTCTTTGATATAGGGAGCCTGATGCTATCTCTGCGCGCTGTTCCCTTCACGGCAGCTTTTGGGTAGGAAAATTGCTGAGAAAGCTGGATCACACGGAACGTCGGAGCCGCTCCGCGCAGCGCCAGAAAGCCCCGGGGAAGGCGGCGGGTGCGTGTGTGAGTGCGCGGCGCGCTGGGAGTTCCAGCTCAGCTGCGGTGCGGTGCGCGCTGTGTGCATTTTCGGGGGGCCTGGAGGAACTAGAGTCAATTTACCATGATTAAAGGCACAAGCAAGGAGGCGCCACACATTTGCATGCGCCTTCATCTTTCTTAAGTGGATTTTTGAGGGCAGCGCGGCAGACAGGCTTGGGCTCCTCGTCCCCCCTCAGCCGGCGGAGCGCCTCGCTGGGCGGCCTCGGGGACTGGCGGTCTTGGACCCCGGTCCCGCCCGAGGGAGCCGCGGGACGGGCCCCGGCACCAGTCTGACGTCGGGGCCGCGCTGCCCCGGAGCGGTGTCGCTCCGCCACCCGGTCCCCCCCGCCACGACAGGCGCGGCTCCGCGCTGTCCTCCCTCTCGCCGCGGGCCGGCGGCTCGCCCGGCGCCGGGCACGACGCGCACGGACCGCGCCCGCGGAGAAGGCTGCGCTGGCCGGCGCGCACCGGGTCCCTCCGGCCCTCCTCTGTCCCGCTCTCCCGGCTCCGCGTTACCGGCGCAGCCCCGTTCTTGGCCTGGGCCAAGAGCAGGCGCGGCTGCCCCGGCCCGACCCGTTGCTCTGACCCGCACGGCCCGGCCCGGCCCGGCCCGGCCCGGCCGCAGCCGTGCTGCAGAGCGGCCGTCGTGCCCGGCCCAGAGGCCGCAGTGGCGGGCGCCGGGGTCGGGTCTCCCGGCTCCGGCTCCAGTTCGTATCAAACCGAAGCCCTCTTGCTCCCCACCGCCTCGCTTGGCCTCCCCCAGCAGCCCGGCTCGCCCTCCCGGGGCTGCCTGCGCAGGGACCCGACGGGGCGGCCGAGCCCGCGGCTGGCAGCGGCGTGGAGCGCACATGTGTCCCCGCGGCGGCCGGTGCCAGGTGCAGGGCTGGGGGCAGAGTTTACCGCCAGGCTCTGACGGCTCCGCGGGTTTCCCAGCCCGGGGGGCTGGGGGGGGGGGGGGGGGAGGTGGTGTCTTTTCCCAGTTCAGGGCAAATACCTTCGTTTCACTGGGAAATTTAACCTCTCCTTGGAGTTGGATCCATTATACGGGTTTAATATCCGCTCTTTTACAGCTCAGTGTTGTAAAGGCAGCAGCCAGGTCTGTGAACTCTGACATGTGCACCCGCGGGGGGGGGGAGGGTGCAGGGGGGGAGGCCGGGACCTGCCGGCGCGGGGCGCGCCTGCGAGCGCAGCCTTTCATCTGCGGGGCCGCCGCACCGGCCCTCCCCACCCGCGCTGCCCGGCCGGGTCCGCGGGGCCCCCGCCGCGACCCCGGGGTTCTGCAGCCCCCTGAGGCTCCTCCGGGGGTGCTGGCGGGGCCTCACCGCGCCGTCGCTCCCGGGGAGCGGGCTGGGCCGGTGCGGCGGAAGCCGTGCCCGCGCCGGTGGCCTCCCCCGCGCCGCGACCCGGCAGGTGCCCCGGGGGCGCGGGCGGAGGCCGGGAGCCCCGGCGAGCCGGGCCGGGCCGGGCCGGGCGCTGCCTGCCCCGGGGGCTGTCCCTGCCGACGGGACGCGCTCCCGCGGAGCCCCGCTCCGCAGAGCCGCCTCTCCCGCACAGGCGTGAACGGGGCGGTGCGTCGGCAGGACGGGAAGGGACGAGGCGACCCCGAGCATTCCGCTTTTCCACCCGCGAACTGGCAGGTGCGTGGGGCGGCCCGGGCGGGGGCACCGGGCCAGCGCCGACCGCGGGGCCGGGCCGGGCCCTCGTCAGCCGGGCAGGAGGGACCGGCGGTCCGGCCCGGCCCGGCGGACGCGTCGAGCGCTCGGCGCCGGCACTAGCCCCGGGCGGGCGGTGCTGCAGAGGGAGCCGCGCCGGGACCCCGCTCCGCCGGTGCGGGCGGCCGCGCTAGGCTGGATCCCGGCACCCGCGGGGGTCCCGCCGCCCCGCGAGCGGCAGCCCTGGCTCACGGTGCGGGCGGGGTTCCCGTGCCGAGCGGCGCCGGGGCCCGTCGGGCCGGGGCGGCCGCGGCAGCGGGTTCCCGTCGGAGGGGAGGGAGCTGGCCGCTCCTCTGCTTTTTGCGACGCGTTGCGGGATCATTTCTATGCGTTTAATCGAGGAACCGAAATAAAACTCGATTTTCCTGAACAACAAATTCCAACAACGAGAAATCGTTTCCTCCTGGGTCCGGGCAGCCTCTCGCTTACGACCAAGGTTTCCCCGCGCCGTGGGAGCCGGCTCCGAGCCGCTGTCCTTCCTGCCCCGCAGCGCCGGGGCCGGGCCCCGGCGGGACCGATCACATCGACTGCTCGCGGCTCCGCGTATCTCGCGCTCCCGGGGCAGCCTCGCCCGGCGGCACAGGGTCCGCGGCGCGGAGGGAGCTCCGCCCGTGTCCGCGGCCCTTCCGCGCTTCTCGCTCCGCGCCCAGATCTCCGCCGGGAGCGCGGGGACAGCTCGGCGGCTGGTGCCCGACTCGCCGATCCAGGACGCTTCTCCCCTCCCAGACCGTCCCCGATCGCCCAGAGCCCCGCGTGGGGCCGGTGCGGGTGCGTAGGCCAGGTGGGGCCTCCTCTCCTGCCCCAGGGCTGCGCAGACACCGGTCTGTGGTCGCGCCCTTTGCGCCCCCGCGCAGCGTCGCGCTACCCGCGGGCAGGCTGCAGCCGGGAGCCTCCACCGGGGCATCGTCCTCCGGATCGGGGGGTCCTGTCCCGGTGTGAGCGGCCGGCTTCTGCGCCGCCCCCCCGGGGCATACCCTCCCGCGGGAGCCCGGGTCCCGGCCGGCCCCGTCCTGGCAGGAGGACGGGGCGCAGCGGGGGCGAGCGCCCACTCCCAAGGGGTCCGGCGGGCGGGGGGGCGCCGGTGTGGAGCCCGCTCCCCGGCCGGGCTGCCCTGCAGCCCCCGGTAGCTGGAACCCCGCTCCCCCGGGCACCACTGCTCTGCCCGGTGCTTCTTGAAAGGAGAAATGAAAAACAAAGAGTTTGGAGAGAAAGAGGAGAGGGCTCTGCCTGCATGATGGTATCGCTTTTTACGTAAAGATATTAATAGTTAGCGGAAAATTCAGTCGGTGGGTAATTGTGTTAGATTATCTGATTGGGCTTTTCTGCTGCGGCTCTCCTGAACTGCCTTTGTAAACAGAAAACGGTCACGTAGAACGGGGAAAAATCAGAAGCCGTGCAAATAAATAGTGCTGCTAACCTCGCCGGTCTGAGCACTCCCTTGAAGAGCGGAGCAGAGAGCTCCTTTCTGGTTTGTATTAGTGATTGTTGCACTGTCATTAGGGAATGCAAGGGTGGAAATATTTGCTTCGGGACTCCAAGCACACGCGGTGCAACAAGAGGGAAGCAAAACGCTGAAGCGTGCGTGCCGCACAGAAAGCGGAATAACGTTCAACAAGCCCTGAGAATATCCGGAGGCAGGGAGCCGGCTCCGCCGAGAGCCCCCAGCCCTGCGGAGCTGCTCCTGCCTCCCTCCGCTTCAGATCCAGCTTGCTCACAGGCTTCTGCTTCCCAGCTCCCTAACGCACACGCCTGGCAGCTTGTCATGTGGAGGGGTTGTGTGATGTAATTCCCCAGCACGACATGTTCTCACCTGATGCCAACTGATCACTCTGGAGATGCACACGAAGCTGCGGGCTCCTCTGGCAGCATTTTCTTGTCCTCTCCCTTTCTCTTGCACGTCTGCGTTTTAATCTGACGTGCTGGGTGCTGGCAAGACGAGACCCTGGAGGTCTCCAACCGCCCAGCGCTGGTTCCGCGCTCCACCGCCGCGCTCCTCCCGCAGCTCTGTCCCGCTCCGGGACGCCGTCAAGCACGGGCGAACATAATATTTTTTTTTTCCCATTATCAATAAGTATAAAGCTCACTATTTCTAGTTACCTCAGAACGTAAATTTCTATAAACTCAGCTGTGGCATCGGATTGAAGAGGAATGCCTTTTGAAGGTGTTTTCCTAAAAGAAATCCTCTGATCCCGGGGCTCAAAGGTTATCACGAACAATAAACACTTTCACCCCCAGCCTCATTGAGACAATGACAGATGAGCCAATTTGACACTCCTTTCTGCACTACAGATTTTCTCCTCTAATTATTTTAGCATTTTTATTTTGGGTCAGAGCGAGAGATCTGCATCATTTGCGCTGGAGTTGCGGTGCCCGATTTTGCCTCTATTGCACATTTTGGTATCTTGTAGCTCCACACATGGAAAACGGGGGAGAACAGTCAGAGGGCGATGGAGCTGGTTTGCCCACTTCTAGCCCGAGCCTCGGGTTTGCTGTTCCCGTAGAGATTCCCGGGGTATTTCTGAAGTGCGATATTTACATAATGCACGGGGAAAGGTGTCCTCCAAGAACAGTCAAGTTACCCGATAAACATGTATCGAAACGGTCACATTTACCACAGATCTGGAGCACCCTTTCAACCTGGATGAAAAGGGACTATAAAGCAGATAACAGTGGGTGGAGAACTTCAAAGTCTGGTTTTCAATGGGATTCCTGCAGACATGAA